ACACATTTTCGATTTAGATCCGGATGCATAATTATAGTCCTTGTCTTTATTCTTCATTTAGATGTGACGCGTAAAGTACAAAGTACTACATAATCTACTCCGTATAGTAGGTATCGATAGCTCACGGGAACATTGTGCATACACCATATCCTGTACTCCGTACGGAATAGGGAGTACATAAGTATAAAGGGGCTAATATATGCAAATTGAAGCTATCCCACGACTTAAGCTATCAGATGCAGAAGCTGACGACGCCTACGTTCCATTGCCGAACTAGTATTTAAAGCAGACCAATGAATAGTTCGGAAGTCCCCCATGTGAACCATGGGCTAAGATCCGCCTCAATTACGCCAGTTCTTGGCATTTCATGCACGGAGTCCAGGTATCGGATTTAATTGGCCAAGTACTACCGTCGGCAAATCGGAAGATGGTGTTTCGAGTTGAATTACTTTTTTGAAATTCGGGCTTGGGCGTTACTTTACGGAAGGGATGGAATTTGATTGAAACCTACCCCTATTTCCCGCCAGATACGAAAGGGTTTTGATCTATGCGAGTACGGAGTACAGTTGTATGGAGTATATTGTAGACGTTTTCTGAAACTCAGAGTCCGTGGCGATCTTGAAGATCGCCTGTTCCGAACTTCCCGAATATCACGTCCGACACTGTTTCAAGGAATGGTGACTAGGAGCAATAATTTCACTCCAAGAGAACAAGACGCAGAGATAACATTCCGTCCCTTTTTGGAATGTAACCGCAATTATTTGATTCAAATGTTCAAGGGGTTTTAAATAGACATCGTAACTCAATGAGGTCCTATTCGACCAATAACGCAGCGGAAACTCTTGGCTCCCAGTCCTAAGTTGTGGGATTAATTATTCAGGTCCCGTCGCCCTCCTAGACTAGTGAAAGAATGGGTCCTTCTAGAATTTTGAAACTGACGATTATGACACTCGACGTTGTACAACACCTTCCGACCAAATGACAATATATATAACGTAGACTGAAATTAGCTATTTTAAGTCCAAACCAACTTTCGTATTCCTAGGCTATTCAGTTTCTGCTTGAACCACAACAAAGAAAGCAGCGTATGAGGTTCAAAGGGTAATAGCAAACGTGATGCCGAGTGAAACTATGGGGATCTCCTTTCCGCAACTGTCATCTGATCGAATGGGAATAATTCGGTGCTTGGCGACCCATTTATTTGACAGAAATCGAAAGTCCGAGGTTCCAACTCTGGTTTAGAGAAGATCGGCTTTAGAAGTTAATAGTTTCCCCTGTATGTATAATATGATATGTGCAGGGGGCGTCTATACATATCCCGTCACTAATCACTAATACTCGGAGATAGGTATTTACGTTTGACATCGTACATACGTATTCGAGGGTTTACTTAGCCACTTGAGTTCTAGAGCTGGTATAACGCCTCTGTGGACCCCCGTACCCACTTTCTAATTCGAAAAGGATTTAAGCAAGCGAAATTTGGATCAGATATGGTTTCTCTAGGGCTGTCAGTGGTAATGTAAATTACAATACCTTGGCGTTCGGGTGGCCAGGGTCACGCAATTTTGGTTTGACGCATTAAGACCCGTCTAAATTTACCCCTTAGTCAGGAGAACTTGATGGTAACTGGATCAACAGAAGCATCTGTGTAGGAACATTGTCACTCCCAAAATGCGAATTGGAATAGTTACGGCTTTTCTTTCATGGGCCTTGGTCGCCTGGGCCACTATTCTTGAGAATGGTCAAGTAAGAGAGAATGCGTATCCAGGCCAGTTACAACCGGTGACTTTGGACAATTCTTGGAGGAACTATCCAGCGGATGCGCCGGAGATATCTTACAAAGGTCGTTGGGATAGCCAGCACATTTCTTGTATGTTCCCCATGGCTCCTCCAGGGCTCTTCCCCATGGCTCCTCTTCCCCGGATTCCCGTCTTAACCTTAATACTAACCTTGGATAGGGTGGTCGTACGTATCACTCTTTAGTCTATAGTTTTATATCGCCTTTACTAATTAATTCAGTGCACCGGGAATCAAAGTCGAGTTCTCTGGGGAAAAGGTATGTACATCCTTTCCCTTCTGATCTTAAAGGCCCACGTGTTGATATCATCCTAGCTTGCTGTCCATTTCGGCCCAAACACCAACACAGGTGTTCTAGTGGCTTACCGGTATGTATAACCCTCCCTCTTTGTGTACTCATTCTAAACCTTGACAGGGTGGGCTCCCTCGACTGGCAATTCTCTAATATCACTGCCGACTCAACATATCAATTTGTTGGACCATGGTCAGAGCTCAAAGATGGTGATCAACCCATCGATAAAAATGTGTTTGAGATGAGAGGTATGCGTTCTATCAAACCCCAGCGGCAATCTAGATACTAACTGCATTGTAGTGACAAATTGGGGCATTGGATAAGTCTCCCCCCGTCTTTCACTATGTTCATTACTTACCCTCCACACAGTCCAAATCGCTGGTGTAGCTGTCGCGAATGACGCCGTCATCACCAAAGCCCCGACTTTCGGAAAGAGAGTTGAGATCATTGGCGGCTCGTGAGTCTTCACATCTTGCCAGCTAGTTCTCCATGTAACTAACCATTCCCAAGTCTTGCATCTGGGCAATTTGCCACCTACGAGACAGTCTCCTCGTGGTCCTTCCTCTTCGCTAACGGCTTGGGCAATGTCGAATATGGCATCACAGTCAGTCCGCTCCTTGGATCCCTGAATTCCTGAATTCCAGATGTTCTAACACAGTCTCACAGGCTTATCCGGGCGTATGTCTCGCGGATGAACAATGTTACAACGGCGGTTCTCGTGGCGTAGTATGTCACTGCCCATCTCCACTGGGAAACCCACCATCAACTAACAACTTTACTAGGGCTGGTACTGGCACCGCGCCTCCGACCCCGGCTCTCGCGCACGTGCAATCTACGACCACAGCCCCGAGAAATGGGACGTGAAAGCAGAGCAACCGGCCGATCTTGTGATCATCCAGATGGGCGGTAACGATCACCGCCACCCCAACGAAATCCCCGGCAGAGATTACTACCATGCCTACGTCGAGTTGGTAGAGGATATCCACTCTAACTGGCCTCATGCAATCATCCTCCTCATGGTATGTGTTTATTCCATCTACCATTTTCACTGCATCGAACTCAAACCTAACTTCAACAGTCTCAATGGGGAAGTTTCACCAAAGAAGGCAAGAAGTGGGTCGGTAGCACTTACTACCAAGAAGAGACCAAGCAGGTCAATGAGCACTTCAAGGACCGTGGTTTCGTCTATTATTTCCCCACCGAGGGTCTTCTGCAACATAACGATATTAACCCCAAGAACCATCTTACAGATGTGGGACATGTCAAGATTGCGAGTCACTTGTTGCAGTGGGTTAAGTTGGTGCTGAGGTGGAACCTTGAGCCTACTGGTGAAGTCCACTCTGGGACTACTTACTGGAACGATCAGCAGGAATACTGATCGTTCCAGAGACAGAAACTGGGGCTGGATAGTTACCCGACCTTTGTATATATATTTCTTGGATACTTAGCACAGTGTGGATAAACTAGAACATATATTGCCTTTTGCAACCTTGTACCTTTTGTGCAACTCAAGCTTGCTTCCTGAAAAGTCAAATCTAGATCCATGGACGTAGAATATATTCATAAACCAAAAAAGGTAGCACTGGGAACCGGAAAATGTGTTCGAGACCCGTTTGGGCGACGGTCTTACCACATACGCTGTGTTATCTCCCTAACTTCACTTATCTTTTCTTTCAACCCACTTCTATCCATCAGAAATGGCTTCATATCCTTAACACGCATGTAGTATGTTCCTTTTTCGAAATACACTCCAAAGTCCGACGCCATGAGTAATCAGGGGTACGACCACATGTTTGAAGCTCAGCAGGCATTTAAACCAGTGCATAAGTACGGACTGAGTGAATTATGGTGGGTAGAACCTGTTTGGCGTCTTCGATATAACTCCTACCTTGATTTCGAGGCGGTTATATTCGCGAATCTTATCACGCCGAATACAGATTTCACGGTGAGGATGAGAAACAACTTGAACAATACCGCAATGAGCTAGATGCTATCAGAAGAGCCCACAACGAGAACGAGCGGAACCTTTTGTCCAGAAATTGATGATTCCACCAGGGCCGCTGAAACGAAACTACGATGAGAGAAGACATTCAATTTGGTATCTTCGGAAGGAGCTTGTCGAGGACTACATCACCAGAGGTGGTTGCTGCGCGCGGGGTTGTGGCTGTTGTGCAAGCGACAGAGGGTTTGAACATACTAACGAAGAGCAGGCACAGATTGCAGATGAGCTCAACTCCATGCTTCTATCCCGTAATCCATCATATGTCATCAAGATAGCGGGGGCTTATTTTGTGAAATCGCAGGAAAAAAAAGTGCACAAGAAAAAGGTTTGGTGGAAGCGGTTCTTTTAAACCAGGAAGGTAATGGGATCTTGCTTTGATATTCCCTTGTAAGGGCTAAGGATGCTTTGTATGGCTTCTCTGGAATCTATATTGTATCCCCTGGCTAGAATATCAAAACATATCAAAAGTTCGACGTCAATTGAAAAAAAAGGTACACTATAGCTCCCCCCCCGACAGGTTATGGGCTTGAGGTACTATTTGAGGTACTATCATTATGCATCTTCATACTACTTTTTACAATCACCATACCTCTCGACTACGCTTTATAGCCACACCTTTCGATGCTCATTCAGGGCTTCTGCATTTCAGGCTCGGCCTAGCCTACTCTTTGGCACAAGTTGTGTATTCACCAAATATGTTATAGCGGTTGCCTATAACTCATTGACCTATACACTGCAGGATTCCTATTCAGCATATCTGCCATTAGTCATCATGGATTTCCATCTCTAGGCCTCCGACAACACATTCACTCATGACACGAGATGCTCTAGCGGACTAGCATATCGATTTTGATGCCCATCGTCGGGATTCATATTGTTCAAGCGTCTCCGGACAAATACGCACTTAAATCAGAATGTATGCTTTCCACCGCCCAGGTTGTCATCTCCGTCAAGCGAAGGGAAGAAATAACCAATGAACGCTTCGCTAATTGGGTCCAAAGGGAAATGTGCATCGCCTCCAGTGTGGTCTTGGGTATTTGGCATGGATAAAAATCCAGATGCCAAAGAATCCGGGAGGTCCAAGTCATTATTGCAATGATCCACAGCATGATCGGTATCGGGAAGAGTTGACGATTGATCTTGACCGTTGTAAGGCAAAACATGCAAACTGGCTATTATTGAATTAAGCTGTGTGGGCGTTGCGAGGCCAGCGGAATAAACAAAGGGATCGTCACTCTGCTTATCCGGAGATGCTGGTATGTCGCTGGAGTCGTATCCCATGCTAGACACCAGCCGGCGAACTGCACTTTGACAAAGTTGCCATGCACGATATGATGCCGTGCAATGCATGGACATCATGTAAAGCCACCGGACGGACTTTTTTGCTGATTGAACCAGATTGCTTTCTCGGTCTTTCATGTGCACACAGCCAAACGACAGCTCCAGAATAATCACTGCTGCTGTCTGCATGATATAATGGAGGAAACACCACCACGGGGCGAACTGATATAGATGTGCAGAATTCGGCTCGTCGGGCAACAAATCAAGCGTTTGCATGGCCGATTCCAGAGTCATCACAGCCGTGTCGTGACTAAATCCCCGCTGGTCGAGACGTTTCTGTTGTTCTTTACTCCGATTTGGGTTGTGCCGACAGAGACATGGACGACCTAGCACGATTCGTGTGCTATAATAGTGGAATGCCAGGTTTTTCTTTGCCCAGTATGTTTGCTGATTTTCATCTTTCATAGAAGTAAAGTCCAGCCCGGGTGGAAGAGCTAATAACCACGCATCGACATTTCCCTTCAATCGTTTAATGGTGGCCTTGATCTCTTCCCATGATATTGTCGCACACTCTGCTGAATAGACGCGGTCTAGGATTTCTTGGTTCAGAACTGTGAGATCACAGAGGTATAGGAAATAAAGACTGGTAGTGACTGGGAGGCTTTGAAGCCACGAGCGCCCAGCTTTTGCTTCTTCGGTCTGCTGACGGTCGGGATGCCGAAGGTGTGGGCTAGTCATGGCCATGTTCACGCGTTTCTCTCTCATATGAAGGTCATCAAGAAGCTCTGAAGCTGGTGGTTCCGACAAATGATCTTCGTCAAAGGGGAGGGGTAGTTGAGTGGTATACATATTGGTCGAAATAGAGGTTGCCCGACCAGTCATCGAGCCCAGCTTATGTTCAACCGTGTAAAGACACCACCACACTCGGCAGGGTATCTCCTTCGCTACACCTGACATTTTCAGCGAACTGCTTTTCAGGTTGATGCCAAGGGAGATGGCGGACCGAATTGCTAAAGCCGAGATTCTCCACGCCCTACATTTATTAGATTCAATTGGTAAGGGAAAGGGCTCAATGGACTCACCTATTAATCTGGTTTGTAGATAGCATGTGGAATGCAACCAACCCCTCTACTTGCACTTGCTCAAGGTCCGGATGCTGGAATAGACTATCGCCACCCATACTTAGCATTCGAGCTCGTGTTAAGTAGAAGAGATGGTCTTTGATATCCCCCCGTTGTGCTTCATCACTGTTATATAAGTATTCTGTTGCAATGGCGAAGATCATGTTCAATATTGCCATCCATCTATCACCCGCATAAGATATATCAGTGAAGAAATCCCTGTATTGACTGGAAAACAGAGTCTTGTTGATGATAGGGAAATGCGGGTGAACTGCGTGTAGATACGTTTCAAACAGATGATCTGCCACCGATTGAGGTGGCACCCAATACATTTGTACTGGTCCGGGTGCATCAATCCCCAGATCATCGATATGATAGTTGACCGTGGATGGAGCGACTTTGTCGGTGGTATAATCTTCGGGTTTGGCTTGTGGTGATTGATCGCGACTGCGCAGTTCGGTTTCTTCCTCCACGCGGCCCATCCACGTAACCTCTGAGCTCTTGCCCATATATCCAGTTGCCCGGGAGCTTTCCGTTAAATTGAGGTCTTCCTCAACCCGATCTACCGCTTCCAATGACCCGATGGAAGAAGGTGAACTGGATCGCTTAGACCTCCCAGTCTGGTCCTGAGACGCATCTGGCATTCCATTCGACGCATTCTCTGAATTGGAGTTGTACTAGTGGATGTATTAGTCAAAGAGCAGGATTCCGGGTATCTTTGGTTTGATAAACTCCTCACCTTCTGGAGTAGATGTTTAATGCGTTCGGCAGATTGGCCGTCGACCTGTTTTACTACCTCTTTCAACGTAGTCTCGTAATCCTGCACTTTCCCCTCCAAACTTCGGATTTGCCTAGCAGTGGCTTTAGCTCATGTCCCAATTTATTGCATGCAAAATAGGTATCGATATATTGGTCATTGTCAAGCAATACTTCATATCCGGCAATGCAGATAGATGAGTTCTGGTTGTTCTTACTTTGTTGTTTTCTCACGGGACTTTAGCGGATAGATGCATGGAGTCTTCGCCTCTTCACATTGCCTACAACTTGGAGTCCTGCCATTACATTTTTGTTTTCGCTGATGGCATGATTGACATGCCCGTGAGACTCGTTTGTTGGATGACGGTGCGAAAGTGGACCGTTGCCGGGGAATTGCGACTTTCATGGCAAAGTTTGGCCCTTGCATATTTGACTAGTCAAAAATATGGAGGTATCAGGTATTTCGATGTTCTCTTTGGCAAGTCAAGAAATGACATCACATTGGCACAACTTTCTATAATGACATCATAAGGGAAATTTGCTTCAACTATAGATTGAGACAGCAATCAAATGGAGGATATATAATTGAATCGAAGTATTCTAGTCCAAGCGTAAGTCCACTACGGTGGTGCGCTTTGAAGAAAATTCATATGCCTATGTGCCTAAGTACCTTTTGTATGGGAAGGTCATATAAAAGATACCTCTCTAGATATTTTGTTTGCTAATTAACTAGGACTAACTATGTAGTTGTTTTACACTTGGCCGTTGGAACTGCCGTAAGATAACCTCAGTCCTCCAAACCCTTCCTCTATTCCTACACATTTCACAACACAGCACAGCTAGCCAAAATGTTGACAGACTTTTTGACGAGTCAGTACCTTCAATACAAGACAGATACTGACATTGTAGCCACATGGTTGGCAAGTACCGCAAAGCGGTGTGGTCTCTCGGTGTAGGCTAGGCGGACGGCCCTGGCAAAAAGGCAAAACCGACGGGTCGACTCAAGGGAAAAGCCAGAAAGGCCGCTAAAGCTCCACCAAAGTCCACCCCAACCAATGACAGCATCCACAAGCAAAAGTATACCATCGCTGTCAAGCAATTCACCCCTTTTGCGGAACATATCGCACGATACAACAACAAACCGCCCATTGGTCCCATGGAGGTTTCTCGCAGTTTCAGCCTTGCACTCGACAGTGCCATTTCTGCACGCCCGTGAATTCGGGAAACATGATCTTGAGGATGTAGATGAGGCTACCCAAGAGAGCCACGGATTCTTGGTGGAGGTCCTTGAGCGGGTCCGTGAAACCCTGCCCCCACTAATGCCCAAGAGACAAGCTGATACTTCGGGATTCGGAAAAGAGGAGAAGTCGCTGGCCAATAGATTCGAGAACCTGGAATTGGAAGAACAATTGGAAGCCTTCCTCAATGCGCCTGATGCTTCTAAGCCAGCGGTGCCTGAGACGACTACAGGACCTTCAACCACCGACATGAAAGCGAAAGCCGACCTTGAAGCTGAAATGGCCCCTGAACGTCGTGATATCATGTTCATGTTCCACTTATTAAGCCAGGATGCGAACACCTCCAGGGACATCATCGAAAATACATGGAAAGGATACAAGGAGGGAGTTTGGGATCTTGTCTCGGCTTCTATAACTACCAATACCGCTATCGATCTCTTACGGCGCATGGAAGAGGAGATGAAACCTGCACTTGATAAACCTGGCAGTGGGGAGAAACTCCTGGAAGCATCTTACATTGCCCGCTGCAAGCAGCTTAGCGATCCCCACTACGAAGAAAGTCCTGGTGACGGCTTCAACCTCAAAATCTACAGTCAAACACAAGACCTACTCATCTTACCTTGGCGGCTTCTCCGAGATTTCACAACAACCGCAGCGACATGTGATATGCACAATCCTCCAACTTACGAACCCGCCACTTATGGAATATACGACCCTGAAAGCGATCCCGAAACAAAGTCCGCGAGGGAAAGGTTCGTTGAAGATAAGCAAATACTAGGGGAGGCCTTTCCCGAATTTTACATCCTCGCCCTCCATACCACGGAGAACTTTGCAGAAGATGAGTTGACGCGTGGCCTGAAGCTGGCTTTTTGCAACAAAGAACACCCATTCTGGCTGGTGTTTGCTGTGCAAGTATTTTTTAGATATCCACCATGTTCTACACAATCAGGTTTCTCGATCGTTCTGGGAGCTGCAGTGACGCGCGTTGTGTATGGACAATTATGTTGAGTCAAATCTGGAATGGCACGACAGGGTGCGTGTCGAGACCTGGCCTCGGGAAAACGACAAAGTATTGCGATAAATCCAAGCGAATATGTCTTACTGGTGCGGAACGGATCCATTGCAGGTCCACGAGAAGCGCCTACGTCGACCTATCGGGGTTGCATTCCGTCTTTTCCAATGGCATCCGGTTTTCTGTGGCCTATTGCTCTACAGCCTCAAAATGTTGTATCAAGAAGCAGGGACTACTTTCGTCGGGGCCTGGGGTTGCGTGTTGTACCCCCTTCATCTGTACAACGCTTTAAGACAGGAGAGATTGGTCACGGCACGATGGGCTGATCTGGACGTTTTACAAGCTATTCAGCGGCATAGTTGGATTGGGGCGCCGCCACAAACCCCGGATGATTACATCAAACGGTTTTGCCTCAGTATGGGATACTCGGCGACAAACTTTGCTAAGAACCGTCGAAATGGACGTCCACGAGCCTTGAAGAACGGTCCGAAAGGCTTGACTGAGAAGGGATCTGTCGGTCTTATGCTCAAGCAACGCTTTTGCTATGGCTCCCGATAGATTGATATGTGTTGGAATCAGATCGTCCTCGGATCGTCTTCGGACTGTCCTTATGTTTGTTTGTCAGACTGAGCGTCTATTTGCTAGTTTATTTGCTAGTTCATCAGGGGATAAATACCCTGCTTTCACATAGATTGAATGACAGAGAATTTCACTCCTACACATATCTCTCCCCATACCTCAATAATATGACACGAGCAGATCTACAAACTATTGTGGAGAAAGCCCAGTGGGGAGCAGGTACTGACAATGACAGCCCCTACGACATGATGAAAGTTATCACCCGGGTCCTTGTTTGAAACCCCTCCAAAGGGAGTAAGGGCCGTGAATCCTATGGATTTATGTCCGCACACACATTGCTCCTCAAACTCCGACTCGCCTTACAAGGCGAGGTAGCAGAAATTGCGTTCAAATATTTCGTAACGCACCCGACCTGTTGGCTGCTTTTGACTACCATCAAAAACGCTTGTGCAGACCAGCTTTGCGACATCTTCGGGGCAGGCTGGATTGAGAAGGAGAACCAATTGCCCTGGATGGTTGGCTATATCTTCCTTGCTGCAAGTAATGTGGATCGTGCGGCGAATTTGGTTGCCAAGAAGCGGCCTGGCCAGGTGACATCCCAGCTAATGGTCACCGCTGCTGCAGTTCTTAATTCAATGTTGGAATCGGTAATGGGGGCTTTCACGGCTAGGATTTTGAGTCAGTTCCATGATATTCACATCGGAGGGGTCTATGAGTCAAAACGAAACCCTGAAATTGAGACAGCGAGAGAGAGGGTTGGGTAGAGTCATACATACCAAGATGGTGATGGACGAGCCATCGCCGCATCATCTCTTTGCGCAAAAGAGCTTGTTACAGCTAATGACTACGGGAGAGGGAGAAAGAAGAAATCTTGATCAATCAATCAATCCATCAAAAGCCGGGTATTCATACCCTGACGTCTAGCAAACAATCACTTGTCTGCTAGTAAGAGATGGGAGATTGGGCCATCCAACAACACCCTCTACACTGAGCATCAAAAGTATCAAGTCAAGAATCTTTCTGGTCTGCATAGTAAAATCAAGCGTAAAGAATTGTCTTCAGGGTGTTATTTCTATCAATTTGTAATATCATCAACCAGCGCTATGTCAAACTCCAGAAATTGGCACATATGAGACGGAGTCCTGTCAATTGCCTAGCAGTTAAAAGAGGAGACATACTGAGATCAAGGAGAGTAGCCGCAATGCCGGCCACAGATAATTCTTCCCCGGACCACCAACCCCCGTAAACCCGGACTATCATCCCCCGTAGTCCCCGCAAACATGGCTTGTGCGGAGAATACCACGCTAGATATCTAAATATTCTCGCCAAGGCTACGGTAAACCAACGATAATGGGCAGTATACGCCATGATATCGTTGTGGATTCTGCACTTGGTAGATCCTTCGGACATAGACCGAAGGTAGTAATGTAAGCTTATTTGTTCTCCTTTGAGCTTTTAGTGCAAATTGTACGGTCTGAGCGGCCGATTGATGACCCCTCTCAATCCCCGCATATGAAATTCTGTTACTCGAAGAGACTGTCAAGAGACTGTCCCACGTCGGGGGGTATAAAAGCGCAAAGATGCTGTTTCAATTCTGCTGGATTTCTCAACTCCGTCTACTGCCAAGATAACCTTCACATCTTTTTGATATATTTCTATAGAGGCTTGATATAGGTTACTACCGTTAACATGGGGTTTCTCAATCGTCTGCGGATGACAGGCACTCCTAAAGAGGTCTTCAATCGCCGTCTGTTTTGGTCTGTGGGAATCTTCGGTACGCATACCCTTGACCCTTCCGTGCGCAGTGCTAAAGAAGAGTGACAGGTGTTCTCGGAGCGGGCAGAGGAATCGACGAGGGTCTCGTCGGCGGCATGATCTCACTCAACAGCTTCAAAAGCGAGTTTCCATTAGACGTGGGCTCTGCATCGGAGATCGCCAACCGCGAATCAAATATCACAAGTATGCTGCAGCTTGGGTCAATTGGCGGTGCATTGCTAGCGTTTGTTTTGTGTGATCGAATCGGTCGTGTGAGAACACTCCAGGCTCTCACAGTTATATGGGCCGTCGGCTTTGTGATTGTCATTACCAGCTTTGGCAGCATTGGACAAATTCTTGCTGGCCGATTGATTGCCGGTATTGGCGTTGGTATGACCACTGTGGTTGGCCCGACGTATTTAGCAGAGGTTGCACCGAAGGAGATTCGGGGTATGTTGACTAATATCTTTGCTGGTGCCGTATACTTTGGTGTTATGATTGCCTACTTTGCGAATTGGGGCTGCTCTGAGAATATCTCCGATTCTTCTCGGTCTCAATGGGTAATTCCTCAATCTGTTCACATCATTTTTGCAGGGTAAGTCAGTTCCACGAGAATTACCATATTTCTGTTATACTGACAAGATCATTGATATCAGAATCATATTCCTTGCATCTTGGACCGTCCCAGAGACTCCTCGTTTCCTTTCTATGAAGGGAAAGCATGAACAAGCTCTCAAGAATCTTTGCATACTGCGTCAACTTCCAGCCGATCATCCAAGCATCGTGTCTGAGATACTCGAAGTTCGCGGTCAACTAGAGAGCGAACAAGAAAGCACTCATGGATCTTCATTTTGGGGGAAATTGAAGGAACTAGTCACGATCCCAGCAAATCGCTATCGCTTGATGCTGGGCGTGATGTCGCAACTGCTTGGGCAATGGTCCGGCGCATCGGCGATCACCATCTATGCAACCAGCTTTTTCGCAGCTCTTGGAAAAACCGGCCAAAGTGAAAAGCTTTTCGCCACGTGTATCCTGGGCATTGTCAAGTTTGTCTCCGCCTATATTTCCGCATTCTTTCTTATTGATTTCCTCGGCCGTCGTCGTTCCCTTTACACAGGAATTATCCTGCAGGCCCTTACCATCTGCTACATTGCCATTTATCTGGCAAAGGTTCCTGCCTCGACCCATGTCACCGAGGATAATGCAAGTGCGATAACGGGCTCTGCTAAGCGTGCGGGTATCGGCGCAGTCGCAGCAATCTATCTTTCTGGTTTTGGATGGGCAATCGGCTGGAACTCGTTCCAATACCTGGTCAACGCAGAGATTTATCCCAGTCGGCTGCGCGCCCTTGGTTCGTCGATTGTGATGTGTACGCATTTTGCGAATCAATTCGGTAACACCAAGGCTGTTCCCAGTATGATCATCGCGATGAGCAATTACGGCTTTTTTGTATTTTGCACCGCGGTGTGCGTCTTGGGTCTGCTCTGGGTTTGGTTCTTTGTTCCTGAGACCGCGGGAAGAAGTCTTGAGTCAATGGAGACATTGTTCGATCTGCCTTGGCACCAGATCGGTCGTCATGGAAAACACCTAGCTCCTGGTGGGATAGATCACATTGATGAGACTGACAAAGAGAAAGCCACTGTGTTTCACCAGGAGTAGCTTTGACGTATAACATTTCGAGGCTTTTCGTGGGATATGCGTAGGGATTAAGTGCCATTGATCGTGTGATTTTATCGAAAAGAAAAGGATCCATATATTGCGTTACCTACTTTTTGTGTAAACAAAGGCCCGCGTTGCGCGTTGCCTACCTACGTTTGAGTCGACGCCTGCAGTCGGAAAATTATAAATACCTGCTGGCCCCCAGATTTCTTCCTCTTCTTCTTTTTCCTCTCCGTCCCTGTGCACGGGCTTTACACGTATCAGTGAGGAGAAATCCGAGATCGTGGTTTTGCTAGTTGAAAAGTATCAACTGACCCCTTCAAGCGGGCTCCTGGCACGCTTGGGAATTTTTGAAACACCTTGACGCCTTGAATCCTGAAGTCTTTTCACTACTTGTTACCCATGCGGTGGCTCTTGGAGAAGAGATCCTCTTTACATAACTCTCAGTACTTGCTACCCACGGACTCTTAGAGAAGACACCCTCTTTACATGGTTCTCACTACAGTAATAAATCCAACCTTTTGGGTTATGGTCTCTCTTTGCCAGATGCGTATACAAGTTCATGAATTTATTATGGACCGAGAAAATACACATATCAACACTAGACCAGCTATATCGAGAGAGCCGTAGTCTAAGTCCCTATTTCACCAGTTCCACTCTTCCTTGGAAGAACTCCACCCGGTGGTGGAGGTCTTCGTCGATCTGCTTCTCAGATCTTTGCATGACACCTCGTGGCCCCACAAACCTTTTCATATCGACCAACGTAGCCGAGAGTTTCCGAATCCAACGCCGCAAGATCCACCTCATGGCTCGTGGTTTGGCCTCGTTGCCCAACCTGAATATCCCCAAAAATTGATCGCAATTTGCCTTCGGAACAGGACAAGTGAAGTTTCGATCGAAGGTGTCACGGATAGAGCGCCCGAAGCGAGCAGTGGACTGCTGAGCCGATAAATTTCTCGTTCCACTGGGGGAAGCGGGACTGGAGTTTATTGGCCATGTAGTGTGAAAGATATCCCCCCAAGGCGAGACGACACATTCTGTAAGCAAGGTCAAAGCCATGAGGCTGGAGCAGCGTGAAGAAAGACGTTCTCCGTCCTTAGGTATATCCCTACCACGTGTAAACCACTGTTCTTTGAGCAGGCGAGTTTCCCATTCGGCTGCCATGACCACATCGATTGTTAGGGGCTCTTCGTTGGTGCGGCGAGAATGCTCGAGCCAGGCGAGACGACGGATAATACTCGAGTAGTATTCAGCCTGACACGGTCCATCGGACTCCGAGGCTGGTCGCGTAACGCTTGTACCGAGACTGTCATTTCGGTTGATTGGGGCGGCGAGTGAGCCGGGTCCGCTGTCGTGATCATCGTGAGAAAGGTACGTCTGCTTTGAGCGTTGGATTGTCTCCGATCTTGGGAAGGGTTTGTTTTGGGGGCCGCGAAGAATTCGCTGGAACTGAAGGTTCGCCAAGTAGGTCTGATGGATGCTTTAGCCACTCCTGAATGATGTCTCAAGGACTGATAGTTGCCAGTACCATTAGCGGTATCAGTTGAGTTCATGTCCAAAGGCTCTGGTGATCCCACCTGGGAATTCTGGAGGCGCTGTCCCATCACTGTTTCTGGTTGGCTTGACAAGTTTGAGATATTCAAATGCTCTTCTTGCGCAGGCTGGTCCTCCAAATGTCCGCTCGGGAACCGAGCACCGTGGGACGAAGTAGCTCGCTTTCTAGGTCTTCACATGCGACGCAGCGGGTTATATACACAACGAAGCCCGTGCTTCACGCATCGGTCACACTCAGGCTTGGTTTGACTGCATTTAATTTTCAAGGATGCTACACCATTGCAACCTTATCGCGCCCCCCGAAGAAAGTCTCATACTCTTTGGCTTACTGGGGTCTACATTCAGTGTAGCGAGTATTGCGGGACCTCTACTTGGAGGCGCCTTTTCGCAACATGCTACTTAGTATTGGTGCTTCTACATTAACCTCTCCATCGGCGGCGTGGCTGCCTGAGTCTTGCTTTTCTTCGTCAAGGCCCCTATCTTGATGATCTGCATGGCAATTGGGCCATGGGAATTGCGCTCTTTGGGGTGACATTTTTATGTGCACTCATTCCAAAACGAGGTGACAAATTCCCTCGGCCAGGTTAGGGTGGGAAGGACGGCCAGGGTAGCATTGTTCCTATGGCCTAGTCAATTTGAACATGCTGGGGATGGCTCGGGCGAGACACCTTATTCTTATTAGGTTTGTTGAGTCTAGCGGCACTCTGCTTTGCTTCTCAAGCTTCAACAGGCTTAAGTAAATATTATGTACATAACTTTGAATGGAATACCAGAGAAAGGGTTCAAGGGGTTCATGGTTATATGCGGTGGAGTCTCCAGGACTTCGGGTTTGGTTCGGGGATAAGGTTTTGGCTTTTCCAGAGTGGAGACAAGAATTATGCATAGATCTGATATCTATGCATATAGTAGATCAGGTACAGGTACAGGAATGCTCTTGGAGTTTGAATGATCAGTTAGAGGATACTACATTTAGTCTCTACGAGCATCCCTAGAAATAATCAAGAGTTGTCCATTCGTTCTGCTTATTTTATGCATTCATATGAATCCGCCCAATGAGGCAATTACCGAGGTATCCAACCAATTCCTTTCGCCAAGTCCTTTCTAATCCCAACGGCCCCACATGTCACGAATAGATTGGCTCAACCGTTGTTATCGACCAATGTTATATCGCCTGCACCGGAATAAGTTCCATATCGGGTGTTTGGTCACCGAAGGAGATTTTCTTTTTTCATCTTTTTTTTTTCATATGGCTGGCATATAACAAGACCAGACGTAGCCAACAAAAGACTTCAACCTTTGAATTAAGACTAAATCAAGGCTATCCCCTTGCGCAGCCTAACTTCTAAAATGGCTCCACAACCGCTTCCATTCCCGGGCTTTACCCCGATATCTGATCGTGTATACCTTCGCAATGGCCACGAAAAGGCCAAGCCAGCTCCAGCCGACGAGCCAACAACAATCCTCATTTCCGGCTGGGGCGACGGCATGCCAAAACACGTTACAAAATATTCAGACGGCTACCATGAGCTCTACCCATCTGCGCGGATCATCGTGGTCCTATCGCGCACCTTCCAAGCCACCAACCAACCCGAGGAAGCCAGAATTCAAGCCATGATGCCAGTCATCGACACCGTCTTCCCGACGCCAACCGGCGACGGAAACGAAAAGGAACGTCTGCTCGTACACGCTATGTCAAATACAGGCGCCATCTTCGCCGCCGCTACCATTATCGCATATCAGCGTCGCCACGGCACAGACAAGCCATTCCCCCACCCGCTCATGGTGTTGGATTCCACGCCTGGAAGTCTGCACTTCGCCTCTCAGGTTATCAGATGGTCGCGTGCCATGGCGGTCGGCACGGCCAAATACTTCCCTTGGCCTTTCATTATGACCCATGGTATGTGGTATCTTTTCCTCTGGGCGAACTACCTGTGGGGAGTCGTGCGCGGCGCGGTGCCTTCCGGTGTGTGGGCGGATCGCATCATAAATGATAAGGCCTGTGTCACGACCGAGTCTAGCAGAGTTTACCTTTACTCCAAGGAAGATGATATCATTGGTTACAAGGATTTGGAGGAGAATGTTGCTCATGCCAAGACGTTGGGATACTCGGTTGATCTTGAGATGTTTGAGGGTTCCTCGCATGTCGGCCATATGAGACTTCATCCTGAACAATATTGGAATAAGGTTGCCAGCTCTTGGAAGCAGGCTGTGGAGAAATAAGGTGGGATTGGATATATATGTTTGTATTAATAATTTAGACCATGTTTAATAATTATATAGAGCCATTATTTCATTGTTGACATTTACATTGATACTCCCCAGTTTGCAGAAGGGTAGTTAAGCCAAGCCTCTGGGGTATTGTGGGGTGTCGATCAGACCCTGCAGCGTGGGGGTAGACGATGTATATCGGTACACTATTTGGTCTTAGGTCATACTTATTCACTCTCAATTGGGACTTTGATTCGATTTGCAAAAGGAGCGGGCAAGATATTCATAGGTAGTAATTCATCATATCATTAAATCAATAATCAGCAGTAGCATATCAATCTGGTTCTTCCAAAGCAATGCGAAACGAATATACAAGACAACAACCCAAATCCACTCTGGAGATACAATCTAGTCACGGTCATCAGGATGGAAAACCAACGCCCGCACTTCAATACTCTCTCTTCCGGCCTCATGTTCCGTTTCTGGGTTCACAAAAGCAGTATGAGGCACACGACGAGCTCTTCCATCGAGCTTAGAATCAAAGCACTTGATAAGCGTCACCAAGTCCGGAGTCTGACCATAGCGGTAGTACCACTTGATATTAGGATCCGGCTTGACAGAGTAAGTCTCGCCTTCACGGTCCGGGTATATAAGCCCGATGGGTACAAGGTCACTATCTGGGACTGAGTGTGCATCCGCCACAGCCAATGGATCCTTCAGGATAGTCTTGATCGGACGCCAGACGTTGATGATCTGGTATCGGCCCTTGAGAAGCTCGGGTGCCTCGTCTGGGAGATGGAAGGAGACTCTGTTCTTGGATGCGCTGTAGGATTGATCGATGTGCACGCGCTGTACAGGTCCGCGGAGCTGGGCACCGATGGATTTATCGGTTTGGGGTCTGCGGATGGTGTGGTCGAAGATGAAAATGCGGGAGGCACCGGTGCTATGCGGATCATTGTTAGTTTTGTTTAAAGAGATCTTGGGGGTTCAGGATTGGGTACGCGTCTTTGAGCAGCTGTTCTGTTTCCGCGTAGTATGCCGTCTTGATCTTCTCATCGTCTAGGAATTCTTTCTCTTGGCTTTCGTGATAGTAGAGCTGGAATCCATGGCTATCTAGTTTGTAGTCAAGTTCGTGGCCGCTAATGTCGTGGATAGTGGCGGCGAGAGGATACACAGGTCGGTCGTAGGTTTCTGGTCTGCCAACATACGCTGGCGCTGGGGGAGAGCCATCCTCGTTCTCTTTGAAGTAGTTGAGTGTAGTTTGGACATGGTGAGGCTTTTCGGAGACGGAGACCCCGGGCTTTTCTGAGAGCAGAGAGCCTTGGGAACTGGGAAGTTGAACAGCTGCAGATGCCATGGTGGGTTATTTAATCGAGATTAGAGCGGATAATAATCAGATTTGGGGATGATAATGGATTCTTTATATAGTTTATGTTGCGGGGTGAGTGCTATTTGTCAGATTCAGCACGCAATATTCGTTTGACATGGGAAATGCTGATAAATGCACTGTTTGGGTGAACTGGTAAGCAGCCCTGGAGTTTTTACAGTTGGAATCACATAATTAACGGTGTCATGCATATGCCATTTATAATCTCGCATTCAAAGTATTGCTATCCTATATGAAGCGATTTAGGGAGGTGATGTATTGGAGATTGTAGGGATTCGGCATATTTATTGTTGGCTAGTTCCTTTTCACTCGAGTACATACCCTCATAGCTATATGTTATATCAATGGTTTCATAGATTCCCTACAGATCCAAAAGGGACGGACGAAAACCACGGACGAAAGATATACATTTCAGGTTGATTTGCATGCTGCGATGTCATTCTACCAAGCTTTCCAGCCTCTCCGTTTCTTGCTCTTTAATTCCCTGGCATTCGCTCAAGCTCAATATCTGATGGGATTTCATGGCTTTCCAATCTTGAGCCATATCCCCGGCCTGGCCACTGAAACATCGCTCTTGGCCACTGTCACCGGGGGTCGCTCCCAAACTTCCAGTGAATGAACCCATCGAAGAAGAACGTACGCCATACTATGATCCTGCACAATTTTGTTCCGCACGTTTAGGGTGCGTTCTGAATGACCAGTATCAACTCGCAATGAAACTCGGTAATGGTAGTAACTCAACTACCTGGCTCGCTCGGGATCTAAACCAATTCGTTCTCCACAGACCCCCCACGCATCTCGAGTAGCCTCTGCTAACCCTTGCCCCAGATGGCGCTGGTTAAAAAAGAAATATGTTGCTCTCAAGACAAATATCAGTGCTCATCACTCTCGAGAAAACGTTACTCAATCTGAACTAGACATTCTAAAACACATCTCTGAAGCAAATCCTCTACACAAGGGTTGGATATTCGTTAGGCGTCCTCTCGATTCATTCACGTTAGAGCACGGTTCGGGGAGACATCTCATTCTTGTATTTGAGCCTTTGCATGAACCCCTCTGGATATACCGGAAAAGGTTTGTCGGTGACAGAAGTGTTAAAATAATGGATCCCAGATCTGAAATCAGACAATATAATGATCAAAGTTGAGGATCCATCTATTTTGTCAGAATCGGCTAGAGATGAGCACGAACATACTCTACCGCAGAAGACTTGCCCAGATGGTCGCAGAATATATCGAGCACCAGAGGTTATTCTGGGTGCAGGCTATTCGTACAGTGTCGATATCTGGGGCTTAGGGGTCATGATATGTTTAGAATTATATCATTACCATATAAAAGCTATTCGAGGAGGCTGATCACCTCGAAATTCAAGAATATGATGAGCTTAACCATCTTGGCCATATCTCTGCATTGTTAGGTCTACCTCCGAAGGAACTTCTAGACAAAGGAACAAGAACTGATCTCTTTTCCAAATTCGATAGTGAGTATATTATTGTCTTGTATGGTTTCGCAGGTTCGCTGACTCAATTCAATAGGACAATTCAAAGGCACGACTATTCCACCATCAAACTTCAACTTTGAAGATTCACTAAATCACATACAAAATGAGGATAAGAGGATGTTCATTGAGTTTGTACAAAGAATGATAAAATGGAACCCAGAAGAACGAAATACGGCAAAGGAACTACTCCAGGATCCATGGCTTTATGCGGACTTTGAAGATTGAAATGGCTGTACGATGAGACTGGGAATTTCTGGGTTGCCGGCAATCGCCGTCGCCGTAACATTTGCCGAGCCAACTCTATTAGAAAGATATTTGTAATATATAAAGCCTTCTGTCGTGGGGTCTTCTAGTCTTTTTTTCTGGGAAAGGAACCGACTGTGTACGGAGTATTTTAGCGATTGGCCGTGAGAATTCTAAATAGTCATTGCAACTTAGTTCTGTACAGATCTAGGATTGAGCTTTTTCTTTGTCGTTTTATTTTTGTATATCACCTCATTGTCAGCAAGTCGTGACACGCGTTAAATGTGAATTTACAAAGTCGACAACGAAGATGTTCAAGGCCCAGCATGGGCTCATAACCACCAAGGTCCTCTCCTCAACAAAGTCAGAGCATAGCCTCAATCATCCAATCATTCAACAAAGCGAGGGCCAATGAGACGACCTTGAATTGAAAGCAGCATCCTCAAAGTATTGACCTAAGCACGTATAAGACCCCTACAGTCCCCACGTTTTCCAACATCAAAGCGCTCATTATAATTCCATCACCATGGCAGTCATTCGAGCAAGATGGACCAAGATTGTCGAGGCGGAGATCCTACAGCGATCCTCTCAAGTAGTCTCCGTCATTGACAAACAGATCTACATCTTTGGCGGGGAGTTGCGGCCGCGTGAACCCAGAGACAATAACATCCACATTGTTTCACTTGGAAATGGTGAGTTTCTCTACATGCTCACAAGCAATATCAGACTTACTTGAGAGAACAAAATTCTCAAAACCGATACCAGCACATCCAACTAACCTATCCCATAGCCGCAACGCTATCCACCAAGCCACCCGCCGACCAATCCCCCTCACCACGAGTAGGAACCGCGTCAGCAACCCTCAATGGCAAAATCTACCTATTCTCCGGACGAGGCGGCATAGCAATGTCACCAGTAGAAGAAAGCGGCGGAATGTGGGAATTCAACCCTAGCACCGACAAATGGTCACTCCTAGCACCATCCTCACCAACCCCAACATCAATCCCAGCAGCCCGTAGCTACCACTGCACAGCCAGCGACGGCAAAGACACCGTCTTCATCCACGCAGGCTGTCCAGAGAAGGGCCGTCTATCCGATCTGTGGGCGTTCAGTGTATCCCAGAAGAAATGGACAGAGCTTGCTCCTGCGCCAGATCCCCCGCGCGGTGGAACGTCTATTGCGTTTGCCCAGGGCAGATTGTATCGGATGAATGGGTTTGATGGGGAGCGGGAGCAGGGCGGTAGAGTAGATGTTTATGAGCCTGGAGCTAATCTGTGGAGCTCGCACTCGTTTGTTTCAGATGGTGTGAGTGGGCCATCGCCGCGGAGTGTGGCGGCCTTATTTCCTGTTGTTTTTTCTAGTCGTCTGTACTTGATTACCCTGTTTGGTGAGCGGGATCCCAGTTCATTGGGACATGAGGGTGCGGGAAAGATGTTGGGTGATGTGTGGTTGTTTGATGTTGAGAGCAAGTTATGGACAAAGGTTGAGGCTCAGGGAGATGGGCGTCCTAATCCACGAGGTTGGTTTGATGGGGACGTCCTTGATGCTGGTAGTATTGTGGTTCATGGGGGACTGGGAGAATCAAATAATCGACTGGGTGACCTTTGGACTCTCGAGTTTTTCTAAGCTATTGAATAATTTGGGGTCTTAAGGGAATCCGGGATCTTTCAACATCGACAAATATGAAATTTTAGCAGAGTTATTGGGAAGAAGAGAAAGAAGCAATGGAAAAAAAAATTCGAAAGGAAAACGTTTGTGCTATGAGGTCTTGAATCGTACAGTTGCCATATTCCCCCTTCCGCTCGCAAGAAAAGATTTGACAGAAAAAGGAAAAGTCAGTAAGACGAGTTGCACCATACACCAACACCATGAGGGAAAGTCCTGCAAAAGGAAATGAACAAAAACCAAGCGGGCATCGCAAAACGAAAAACAAAACTCAGAATAAAAATTCAGTAGGAGACCTCCGAGAGACAAATAAAAAAGAGTAGTTATTGTGACAACTGGCATCATGGACAGAAGAAGTGAAGGGTGATCTGTGCTTGAGGAATCTGCTGATGTTCAGAGTGTTGCCTAGAACATGAGAGAGCGGGTCTTCTGTCGACGCGCCTCGACACTACCCATCTCGGGTTGAGAATAGGTGTGCTTGTGTCGAGGACGAGGGGATTGAGGCGCCGGCGCCCCAGATCCAGCAGAAGATGGAGGTGGTCCCACCATGGCACTGTTTCGGTTCCGAACAGGAGATGGGACCCTGGCAGGTGGTGTGGGAATCCCGCTAGGTGGACGACGAGGAGCAGTATCATTGCTGGTTTTCATGCTCCGCTCACGCTTGAGGACAAGGTCAGCCCAGGGCTTGAGTGCACCATTGCCGGAGGTAGAGCCCTTTCCAACAGCTTCAGACATGACTCGAAGCCAGCCCTCCTTATCTGCGGGGCTGTCCGCGTAAAAGTCAATCACTTCACCATTACCAAAGCGGATGCGGAATCCCTCCTCAACAAACATATAGCCGTCTTCTTCTTCGGCAAAGGCAGACTTGCGGCGAGAACCACTCTTCGTGCTAGTCTCCTTCTGGAGCAGAGAGGACCGATCGTCAATGAGCTTGGAGGCCTTGGCTAGGTTGATTGTAGCACGAGGTTGGCGTGTTGTTTCGTGGAAGGCCGTTAACTTGGATCCCTGAAGCTTGAAGAAGCGACGGCGCCAGTACTATTGTAATTTATTAGCTTTGTAGCGGCGACAGAAGAGTTTATAAGCACTTACTGGACAATCTCCACCCTGCTGGGAAAGGAATCCTTCCCAGGAGCGAGCTGCAACACTCTCTGCATCACGCATTTCGCGAATGCAGGCATTCATGCTCTTTGGCATGTCGTCATCCTTGCTACCCTTGGGCTTAGGCACAAAGAGCAGTTGCACTTCCAATTTTCCAATCTTGTAAGGTGGTCGGCGCTGAGTATTGATGCTAGTCGCACTCTTCTTGCTCTTGACGCTACTCATTTGTTCCTCGACTGCCCATTCGTTGAAGCAAGCAACATCAACAATGTGAGGACGGCCAAAGGCCTGCTGCTCGTGGTCGCTCAAAGCCACATATGCGCGGCCAAAGCTACCGTCGCGTGCAACCAAGTTTCGAAGCCGTTCGTAGACAGGGGCATTGACATCCTTGGCCTTCTGTTCCTGTGACTGCATTTGTTGCTTTATGTCAAGCTCCTTGCGCCGACGTGGGGATGCAAACACACGGCTGAGGGCCGACGCCTTCTGACGTGATGGGGATGAAGCGGGTTCTTGGGTTTGGAACTTGCTCTCGTCAATCTTCATCTGCAAGGTCAACTGGAACTCGAGGTCATTCTGGACAATGAGTTCAAACTCCTGTCCAATAGGAGCGGACTTGCCCATCTCCAACCAGGAGGTGGTAACACAGTGCAGTCCGTTATCCAAAGTCAGTGCAAAGTATGACCGTTCACCTAAAATCTGATTAGTAACAGTAAATGCATTCGGTCGTGTGATAGGGTCTTACCACGTGGGAGAGGAAGGTCACAATATTTGAGGCCTACGACCTTCACAAACAAACGCCCGCGCTCTTCGCCATCTTCGAACGATTCGGGGATGGCTGGCTCATTCTCTTCAATGGCCGCGGGGGCTTCCTGAACATTGCTGGGCTGTCCAGGGAGAGGTGGGACTCCACCTGCACCCGGGACGGGCTTTTTCTTCGGGATACCGGTGGCGGGCTTAATACTTGGGCGGCGCGCTGAACCATTCCAAGGGACTGTAGTCCAAGTCTGCTGGCTAGGTTTGCGTGGAGAAGACCCAGCAGAACGTGTACCGCGCGGGTCTGGGGCAGTCTGCTCGGAAGAAGGCACGGCTTCTTCTTCGTTACGGCTGCTGGCAATGATAACTTTGGTGTTCTGTCTCATGAGATATCCTCTCTGTTTGTGGGTAGGAGAGTTAGCGGGGTCTGCACTAATTCCTAGGGTCGTAGGATCCTTTGATGCTATTGCCTGGGAAGGCGGCAAAGAACCAGGGGTTTGGGAAAGGGCTAGGTGAAACGCAACCTTTTGGGATTCAATAACACGATCGAACTCCTTGTCCAATCCAAAGCCGAGGCTTTCTTCCTGAATACTGAAAGGAATGTCAAGCTTCAAACAACTGCTTTGTCGCTGGGCAAGATCCGTGGGCAACGCCAACTTCGGTGGCAAGTCAATTTGGTTATGTTCACGATCCGACGGGTTTGACTCATTGGAAATCTGCTTGGTCAATGAGGGGACGGGTGGAACGTGTTGGCCACTGATCTGACGGCGGGTTGCAGCCATGGACTGCATATCCGCAGGTGTCAGTGAGGGTCGGGTCTTGAGACCAGCACCAGGAGCTCGAATTGTGGCGATAGGTTCGGGAACAGACTCGTCGGATGAGCTCTCATCATGCTCCGGCCCCTGGTCTTCCTCTCTTTCTTCTTCATCTTCGTCTTCGCCATCGTCGTTCTCGATCGGGTGACGAATGACGGAGTCAGGAGTAGAGGGCTCGGAATCTTGGTCTTGCTGCATCTCAGGGGTAATAGGGCGTGCAAGAGACTGACGGATAGACGTCATATCGAAGGACTCCTCTTGGGGGGCATTCGGCTGTTTGTATTCCTGGCCACCCTCTTTTGGCTGTGCAGGCTTTTCGGCGTCGGTCGGGGTTTCAGCATTAGGGGTAGTCTGTTCAGATTCCTGTTTGTGGCTACCATTTCCAGCGTGTTCAAGCTCGGCGGCTTCAGCAGCAGAGCGTAGCGAGTAATTGCTGTCCTCGTCGTACTTGGCCCGCTGGTCACGGGACGACAAGCTATTGTCTGACATGTTCTGATAATAATCCGTGATAGAGTAAAGGTCTTCATCGTGCTCCTCCTGTTTAATTATTACACTGGAGGAATCATCGTCGTCGGTTTCCATGGATGGAATGGGAACATCAGGGTCATAATGGTCATAACGTTGGGGGCTGGAAGCAATTTGGGATCCATCGGAGCTGTCATCCTCATAATTGTCACCCTTGCGAATTCCTCGCAAGATTGAGTCCCGAGAAATGCGAGGCGGAGAAAAGAAGTTCTCTTTGGCCTCGTCATCTGTGTGTGTATCATCTGTTGAGGCGAGGTTTTCATCTGCTCTAGGAAGCTCCAAGGGTTCCTCAATGTTTTGCATGTGGTCGTCATGTATCTCATCATCATCTCGTTCCTGCAGCCTCATGAGACGGAGTCTCTCCTCTAGTGATACAGCGCCAGGGATATCAGACTTTGTATACGAGGCAGGAGCCGGGGGTGCAGGAAGCACACGCTGGCCTGCGCTACCGAGCTCAAAAGCAGCAGCGAGCTTACCAGCCGAGGATGGACGCGCACCTGAAATGCGATTGACCGATGGCAAAGGTGGGAGGGGACGTCGCTCGCCATTTGAGTCCAAGGACTCGACGCGCGTGTGCTGAGCAGATCCCCCTTCACGTGAGATAGGTCGGTCCTCGATACTCTCTTCGTCAACGTCTTCGATAAAGGGCTCGCCATCACTGTTTGTGCTGGGGCTCATGAAACGCCAGTCTTCAGGCAACACGACAGGGGTCTTCTCGATATCTTCCAGCGAGGCGTCAAAGCTATCATCACGCTCGATGGATGACTCGGCCTCAAAACTAAGATCACCCTCTTCCTCAGACTCATAGCTGTTCTCCCGTGACTCAGATGCAACCGATGAAAGATCCGGGGTTGTCATTTCATATTCATTGATTTGAGGAGGCGCGTGGTCAAATGTAACACTCTTCGCATGCCGATGCCCAGTGCTGCCATACTCAGACCAAATATCATTCTGAGGGTCAAATCCCTTGCCGTACCGGCTGCCTTTGGACAGCGAGGACTTGCTTGGCGATGTTTGGTCTTTGCTCGGGGATGACGGCCGAGAAGTCGGGGTGGTATCTTCATCGAATTGAGACTTGGCAACATTCATTTGACTGTCCCGTTGCGGGGTCCTCTCCGATGCCAAAGGTCTATGAGGGAAAACCACTGAAGCTGGGTCATACTCTTGGCTACCTTCGAGGAACATGCTGTGATTTTTGACCTTGGACACGCGTTTCAAATTTTCGAGCGAGGGGCGCTTTGCAGGGAAATAACACCCCTCTGGATCATATGGCGCTTTATTCTCGGCTCCCTTGGAAAATGGCGATGGAGAGTCGCGACCTTTCCAGAAGAGGCGCGGGGAGGCATTGTTATTCAGAGACGAGACATCGTATGCAGGCGATTCGCCATGCGGCATCTGCTACTCTTGTTAGCACGTTTGATCACATGCAAAATGTCGTGTTGACAGTACCTTAGTAGCTTGGTTCCAGCTAGGCGAATTGCGCCTCTGGGCCATGGGGCTCACTTCGGAGAGTGGCCGCTGACCAGATCCGCTACCCATGCTGACGTTGGGTTTGCTGGGGACTCCGGATACGAAAGATGCAATCGTAATAAAAGACCAAGAAAGTATGTCTGTGATGTGTCAGTGCTTGCTCATCCAGTCCTGATCGGCGGGTGGGTTCGCGGCTGATGACAAAGGACACAAGGCGACGCAGAGATCAGATATCATACCTTTCTTAATAACCAGGAGTCTTGTGGAAGAAGTTTACCAGCGAGTCCTGAGGCATTCGGT